TACAATCTACATACTTCATACTAAATATTTTTAGATGAATTATACAAATTACTATGCATATACAACCTACAACATTACATTACATTTAATTAATCCTAAGTTAATTTGCACTCTCTGCATATTTAATACATAAAAGTATTAACGAATTCCATGTAAATATATATTTTTTTTCCTGTGACTTTTGTTCCTATGACTTTTTTCTGTTTTTTTTCCTGTGTTCTTTTACCTGTGACTTTTTTCCTACAATCGATCCGACACAATATACTGATGCTTCCCCCTTAAAATGTCTTACCTACATGATACTCAGCCCCCACCTGTTTCTAGCCCACCATAAACTTCATCTCTTTGTAGGTAACATTGTTAGTCCTGCAGAAGTGTTATGTAATTTACGACCATCATGGTCGAGCAGGGTGGAGACCAAAGATGAATTAGTAATCAGTACCAAAGATGATTCAGGGCCACCCAGCCCAATCGTTTCTAACCCATCATAAAACATGATCTCTTTGTAGGTAACATGGATTGCTGCTCTTACATCTACCAGAGATAGCATCTCTTATGTAATATATTACGCTCAGGGCCCAGCAGGGAAAACGAAGTGGAAATCAGTATCACTGATCTGCTTCTAATTTTAACTAAACTCAATCCAGTATCAGACACATAGTAGGTAGGCCTAAGTAATTTATTTAAAGCCTTTTACAACAAAAATATCGACTACTTTTAAAATAAGTAGCAGTTTGTAGATCTAAGCCTAGTCATAAAATCTATTTCAATTTCAAATAATTTCGTTTGCTGAATAAAATGATTAGAATCTAGAGCTATATTCTAGATCTTAGAGACATTTAAATTTTTATTATTAGGCCTATTTTTTATTTTTTTTAATTATTGGTGTATTACCAATCAAATATAGGTATAAATTTTGCAGGCCTAATTAAATTTCATTAATTTTGTGATTGAATTTAATTAAATAAGTAGATTCTAGATTCTTTGTCTACCTAGCGTAGCCAATCACTCTAAATTTAGATTTAATTTCTAAATATTAAATAAATATTCCAAGTTACATATGATGTCGTATTAGAAATAGCCAATCAAAAAATCCTCACACAATAGGAGAAAATTCATCAAACCTTGCATTTTGAAGATAAAAATTAAGGTGAACGGAAAAAAGTCACCGGGAAAAAAAAACAGAAAAGTGTCAAAAAACTTTTTATAAATATTTTTATTTTAATTGTTGAGAATTGTCAAAATTTTGGGTGTTTATCGATGTGGGTTGTTGTTTTTAGCATATTTATAAACTATAAAAGCATTGTGGTTTATAACAAAAATAAGTAAAATTACTGTAACCTCATTTACATAGCAACCACAACTTTTGTAATGAATTTAGTTAAATACCCTCTAGAAATGTTAATTATAAGCTAATTTTAGGCACATCATTGTATTTTGCATGTTTGTTTTTTTTTGTCGAAAAAAGACCATGGGGTTTGTATGGATGGTGCGCTATCTATGGTTGTGTCAAAATAGGGCTTTCATAAAAAAAAAGGAAAAGATTTAGCTCCCTAACCAAGGGGAATCCACTGCATGATCCAATCTTTAGACTCCATTACTAATAATAGTTGTAAATTATATTAAATTTGGAGCCCGTCTGTTTATAAATAAAGATCACGATGTTCTGCTTTCCTACACTACAGTACGCTGGCTGTCAAAATTAAATGTCGTGAATGGTGTTTTTGAATTGAAAGATGAAATCAAGCTGTTTTTGGAAGTGCAAGGGAAACAAGACCTTTTGATACACTTTAACAACAAAGAGTGGTTGGAGGTAGCATACCTAGCAGATATATTCTAACACCAACATAAGCTTAAGCTGAAGCTTCAGGGGAATTACTACGCAAAATAGGCGAAGAAAAATAAATATTGGAAATATTGTCATGTTTGAGAAACTCTGTATTGTGGTAAATGAATCTGATTGAAAATACAAATCGAAAAAGAATTCTGGGCATCTTGAATCTAGCGAAAACGAACTGTCGCATTGACCTGAAAGAAGAATAATCTGCATTTCTGCTTCCCTTGATGTTTCCAGCATTCCCGCTAAATTACAAGATGTATTCTTAAAGTTGCGTAATGATTCCGTGCCATGTACCGTGTTAAATGAAAAAGCTACTTACACGTGAAATTAATTGCCTTTTGATTTTTATTTGTTTTAGAGTCTACATATCTTTACAAGAGTAGATTTTCAACACTTCTCCGATTAAAAATAAAACAATAAGGTAAAATAAATGTGGAAAACGACATGAGATTGGCGTTAACAAAAACAACCGCGAATGTTGAGGCTAGTTAATAGCATGCCATTTCACCCATCGCATGTAAAATTGTTACCAAAAAGAATTCATATTGAAAGTCTACAAGAAAATCTTACTTTAGTGCTTATTAATTTCCTTACTAATTTCGACTTTTTAATTCTACTGGGGTCGCGATCACTTACTTTTTATAAAAAAAAGTTTGAGAACTACTGATGTACGGTATATGAAAAATAAGTCTGATGTAGTTTGACACAGTTCATCCGTGTGCCATGAAACTTTCAGCGGAAAAAAAAAATTTCTTACGGGCGGTATCCGGGAGAGTGCCATTTTGCGATCTTTACCGCCCACATTTATCAATTTCATTACAAGCTGATGATATGGATGGACAAGGCCGACCAAGGAATGACCGATAGCAAAAAATCATTTAAGTCAATCAGTGTGTGCCTGTGTTCTGTTAAATGTGTCGGATTTTTAGCTAATTAATTATTTCTTTGCTTTGTCACTAATATCGTTCAGCGTGTAGTAAAGCACATTGCGTTTGACCAATAACTGTTTCATAAATAATTTTTCTCAAACAAGTAAAAATTAAAATATATAGGCCTATAATTCACGTGAAACGGGTACCGATGGCTAGTTATTTTTATAAACCATAATGCTTTAAAAGTTTACAAATATGCTACCTTAAATAAAAACACAATCTTTTAGCTCATCAAACTGGAATAAACACAATTTTTTTTTGGGATTTCGAACAATTAAATCAAAATAATTCTTAAGCCTTTTTTTTTTTTTTTTTTTCTGTGCCTTTTTTTCGTTCACAATGTAGACGGCCCTTTCCAACTCCTATCTCTATAGTTTACACATCTCCTTTAAAGCTTTAAAATAATACCCCAATGTTACGCTTTAACTAGCCATCTCACACTTTTCACAGGTTGGCTGCCCTACATGTGGTACCGAATACAAATTGTTTGTAAGACAATAGGTCATTTGTAGTAAGTAACCTGGTATCAAATTTAGCATTTCAAAAACGGTGGCAAATCCTGTAATGGTCATGTGATGGCAAGGTCCTATGATAACATCTTGTAATGACGACACTTCTATGGTGGTATATTGATGGTAACGTCCTGCGTTAACATGATTATAGCTCTACTTGTTTAATACTGACTACCTGTTGTTGCAACCTGTTTTCATTCAACTCAACCAAGTGTATGTACACAGTTCAAATAATTTTATTCAGTTCATGTTTATCCACAAATCGAAACGAGCTATGCTCGTTGCTACCCAATAGCCCCTAATCATTCACTCCGCTTTTTTACCCTCATTCGACTTTTGGATAACAATACATAGACCCCGGGGTTGACTCAACTCACATTTTCCCCTGTTCTAGACTTTTCTAACCTCCAAAAGACCTGTAACATGGCAATCCTGGAGAAAGAAGGAGGAAGCAGAGGGAAGGGCTGCTGGGTTTACAATAAACGGTCGCTATAAAGAGACCTGCACAAAACCCGATTCCGGTGGACCATGGAGGGGTGTGCCTGCAAGTGCATGGGCCAGGAATAAGTCGTATTTAAGAATTAGATGCAGAATGCTTTGTGTTGGGTGTAGCTAACAGGAGGTAGAACCCAATTTTCTTTGGCCGTGGACGGTGTCTATTTGTAAACCTATTAGTTGAAATTTAAACGAATAAACCGGGAGTGATCTCCCATAAACTTTCTCGAATATTCTAATATAAAATTACGAGGGATGGCAACTCAGGACATAGACAATATTTGTTATCCATTTTTAATTACTTAAACTTTTTATAATATAATAGAATCTCGTAAAAAAAAAAGAATTGCACACCAATGACGGTCTATGGGGCAAGTAAAGTAGAGTTCACTTGTTTCTGTTACCTCGGCATATGAAGAGATAGTGTGGTCAGCACTATGCCCAGCCGCCTTTACTTTCCCTAACAGGAGTTAGGTACCCATCAGAGTTGGGTGGACCCAGGGACGGTCTACTGACTTGAACTCAGATTCGAACTCGAGACTAACGGGTTAGCAGTCCAGCTCTCTACCGCTATACCACTCCGTCCCACACCAAGTGAACACCTAATAAAATGTGTATAAAAGTGCGGGATATTATTAGTACTTTAAAAATTTACATGCGTTTTTTGAGAAATAGGAAATGGCGTAAATTAGTACTTCCGGTCAACGGAAATTACTCAAAATTTGACAGAAGGTAGAGAATTAGATCTTTTACACACACAGACACACGGACATAATTGCAAAGTCCAGTTTTTACGACTCGATAACGCATAAAACGCCAAAACGTTTATATATTTGTATTTATAATTTTTGCCTGATTAAAATAAGTCCTCTATACTCCGGATGTGATGAAGGACTGAGGAGTAAAACGGTGAAAACTGTCAAAATTTCATGTTATTTTTGTGCACGATTACAATACTTTCTCTATACTTCGTATATACGAGAAAGTAAATAAAAAGTTGACACTGACTAAAATGCTGATATATTAGTTGTTTAATGTAGACAAGACAGGAGATAATTGTAACTAGCACAAGGCAACCCATTTAAGCGGCAACTCTTCTAATGATCGCCGTCCCCATACAATTAAAAAAGGTATAAAAATTTCTTAATAGCTTAAAAATTGTGGAAATAAATTATAATCAATTAATAATCAAATTAAAAACAAGTAAAAAAAAGTTACAAATATTCACACTTTAACTTTATTATTCTAATTTTATATAAAAACAAATAAAATCAATATGCCCATCCTACTGGTACCCACATCTCATCATTTTCAATTTGAGAAGCAATAGTTAATAGTTCAGTTGTTGCTGCATGCAGATCATCGTTTACAATGGTATAATCAAAAAAGTGGCAGTAGCGTTCTTCAATTTTTTGAGACATTTCAACTATATCTTTTAGCTCATCAAACTGGAATAATAATAATACTGATTATATATAATATGCAATTCAACAACAAATCTACATTTTCACTATAACATTATACAACTAGTGAAATCTTAATTTTCTTCACAGAACTTGGCAAACTACATTTTAAAGGGGAAAATTTACTTAAATTATTGTGCTCACTTTCAGTCTATTGACAAATTTAATGCTCTTGTCTATGTTGTACTCATTAAACAAATGTCAGTAATTTTAACAACATCAACAACAAGTTGGAATATGTTTATAGGAAAAAAATAAACCTATTTAATAACTACTTTTTCAATACTGTGTTCTGCCTCCAAGGGCATCATCATATTTTTGTAAACTAAAAGAATCTGTCAACTATATTTAAAAAAAAAAAAAAACTAACCGAAAAAGGTAATGTTTTTTCCGATGTTGTTGCTCGTGCATGTTTCTCCAATCGAGTATACTTCATTCTTTCCAAGCATGGAGCTTTAATGAAGATTATAAAAGGTCTAAGCTCTGAGGTTCTGATAAATTTTAGTGCCTTAAATATAAATTTAAAAAAAAACTATTAAACTAAATGGTACAGAATAATAAAATTGTTTAACTGAACATTTAAAAGTATTTTAAAATATGTAGAAGTCCTATTTTCACATAACAAACCTGTTGTATGAACATTTCCTTAAAATAAATAGGAACGGTAACGTTATAATAAAGACAGGAGATTCCAGGATTTCTTTCGGATATTTTTCTCCGGAGGGGGTGGGGCACTACTACAAGTATTTTCTATGATGGGCGGGGAGAGGTGGGGAAGGGTGTGTCTACAAGAAATACGAATCCTGATTTTTCAATTAGATAAAATTATAGAGAGCCTGCTAGTGGCATCAAATGAGTTGGACTGCAGAGGTTCAAGTGAAAAATTTATTAACCTGAGATGAAAGAAAAAAAAATGTCTCCACTAAGCAATAAACCTACTGGATTAAGATTCCCTCACTACGGCAGTCATTTGGATGATAGAAGAAATAAAATAGAGTGAGTGAAGAAAAAAAATTCAATTAGCCGGAAACCATTTGGCAGAAATATGTTCACAATTGACAGTAGATAAATTTCCTACATTGATCTAGCAGTCTTAACTCCTTGAAACTTCTGTCAAAGAACACGATTTGGTACATTCATGTTAGAACATGACTAAGCATGGTTAAATGCATTAATCGCAAGTGTTGTTCAAAGTCGAGATTTCCTCCTCCTTTACCAGTTGCCCAAAGGATAACTTCCACTCTTTTGGCAATTTTGTTTAAAAGTGGATGAAATCGGGCCCGCATCCTATTCACACAACCCATTATTATTTGCAGTGTCTCATTGTCTGTCATCGAGAGATTATGCAAAAAGTGCAATCCATATTACTCTTCATTAGTCTTGTTGCACAACCATTCATTAACTCTTCTTCCAATTTTGGAGGCAAGGTTTTTGTTGCCTACACATGTCAGTGCACAATACAATGCGTAACACTTGCGCAACAAAATCGGACTTTTTTACCAGCGTGACTTGAGCTCAGTCCGAACAAAACTGGAGAGAGACCATATTTCACGAAACGTTGTCTTTGAAGTCATCCACAAGTTCCTTTAGATCGCCTGCCTTAGTAGTTGTTGTAAGATACTCTAACAAATTTTTTTTTTTAAAAGCTTCATTTTTCGTACTATTATGAACATTTTTTAAAATTTCTATCTACTGGCCCAATAGTCAACTTGTGAATGTTGTTATGGTCCTAACTGTTAAAAATGCTTAAATTGAGCAATTCTAGCCCAGCACTGACAAAAATAAAACTTCCTTAAGCTGCAAGGAGATGGGAAATACAAGAAAACAACGTTTGCTGTATTAAACGTGAAGCTGCTAATTTCCGAATTATAAGGTGTCTCTAAGGCAACAGCAGAAACACTAATTTGCAGTAAATATTTAGTATTATATTTTCGTTTTTATGTGAAAATCAATTTTAATGTACTGTTGATGTACGGTTCATTTTGTGCAACAGTAAAATATATATGTAAGTTCTGAATTTGAATAAAACCATATTTTCCTATTAAGAAGGTGTGTGTGTGTTTATACACGCAAGAACATTTTCAAAAGATTATTTAGTAAGATTTCTCATTACCTGAGTGTGAGGTGCAAGCAGACATACTTTGCCTCGTTGTATCACAGATTTTATAGAATCAAGACTTGTACCATATAAATTACCCTTGTACTCGCCATATTCAACAAACCTTGAAATTAATTTTTTGAGAAAGACTATTGTAAATTTCTATTGATATAACAGAAGAATCAGAAAAGATTTTTAGTCTTTACCAAGCACAGAATAAATTGAAGTCTTGCTTGTAAAGAAAAAGTAACAGTAAAAAAAACAATGGTTAACAATATAAGTAGTATTTTACAAGATAAAACATACTCAACAAAATCATTCTTATAATAAATAAAACATAGAACTATTAAGCTAATTGCCATCAGGATTCACACATATCTTAAAAAAATACACTAGCTTAGTTGAAATTTAATTAAAATTGATTACAGTTTTGTGTACAAACTTTTGAGCTACTATTTGATTTTCCATTTCCTCTCTTGTAAGAAAAAAATATTCTTTTCCATCTTCTTCATGGGGTCGCATTTCACGCGTAGTATCTAATGGTAATAAACATGATATTTATGAGTATCAGTTTTATTTTAAAAAAAAATGTTTACTTATATAATACTATTTCAAAAATTGCTGAAATAAATATTAGACTTCCATAACAAATACAAGTATTGTTGGCACTTGTTTGGCTGAAATCACGGAAACATTGTTTTAAAATTTGAAGGCTATCATTATATTGTCAAGGGATGGCGTGGTCGAATAATAAAGCGTTTGACTGTTAACACCGGACATTGTAGCGGTCTTTACCATCATCAAAAAAAAGATCAACGACAGCCTATTAGTACCCTTTCAAACATTACGGTCTATGAGGCAGAAGAAGTAGAGTTTACCTGTTGCAGTGAAGGGATAGTGTGGTCAGCACTATGCCCAGCCACTGTTACATTAACGTGAGCTAGATACCTATCAGAGCTGGGTGGGCACTTAAAAACGTGAGTCCGGGGTCTGAACTCGAGACTTTCGGTAATAAGTGATTAGGTTGTGGTAAAAAAAAACATGTTCCATACATAGAGCTTCCATATTACCAAACTGTTTTAACTCCACTTTCAATTTTTTTAGAGTTATTAGTGCCATTGTATTCCTCGCCTACCAAAGTATGTTTGTAATACAATGTGTGGTTAAAACTCTTACCATTATTACAAAATAATATGCCACTTTTTCTTTCTCAAGAACACGATTCCGTTCAGAGACAATGTTCTAACCCCAGCATCCAATTAAAAAGTATTATTAGGGCACCCATGTTATGGCAGCTTCCATGTTTTTACGTCAACAGTATAAAACAAATGCTGATGTGTTTGTTTTTCTACTTTATCTGCTATGTTGAGGTTGTACAAAAATAATAAACTGAGGACGGAATTGCTCTAGAACAGGGGTCTCCAAACTACGGCCCGCGGGCCGGATGCGGCCCGCAAGCTCCTCTCATCCAGCCCGCGGAGATCTTTTTGTCCTCGGAAAAAAATGTCTGTTAGAGGTGGCTGAGGAACTTTGCCCAGAAAATTCAAAATAATTTGAAAATGTAGCTTTGGGTGCAATACCTTTGCCCACCGTGTTGCAGGCATTGGTGAAAACATCGTGACTCAAATAGCGAAAAATGCAAGAACGTTTCACTATTTTTTTTAAATTCCAATGGATGAGTCGCTGGACAGCTATTCCACCTCGCAACTGCTTGTGTTCATTAGAGGTGTGGATGAAGACATGAACATAACACAAGAAACTGGCTTCCCTCCATAATATGTATGGCACTGTTCAGTGGCGTAGCCATGATCGTCTCAAGGGGGGGGGGTCCAATTTTTACCCGGGGACAAACTTTCGATTTGCACCCCCCTCATACTTTTTATATATACTGGCACTGTTACCGGAGAGGATATATTCAATGAGTTGAAGAAAACATTTGCTGTTTATAACTTGGACTGGACTAACCTCATTTACCTGACTGTTGATGAGGAAAAGTACATTAGTGGCATAAACAAATGCTTGGTTGGACAAGCGAATGAGAAAAGATATCCTACAACCAATGCTCCTGCACTCTATTATTCATCAGCAAGCTTTGAGTGATAAATATATGGACATTAGCAGTGTATTGAATCCTGTGGTGAAGATGGCGAATTTAATAAGGTCACATGGGCTCAACCATAGATATAGAATACGTGAAGAATAATTTGAATTTTTTGTTTGTGGGCGGGGGGGGGGGGGGGGGGGAAGAGACCATAAGACCGAAGATATGCCTTGAAGAAACTCTGGCCCCCGAACTGATATTTGTTAGTTAATGCGGTCTGAAAAGTTTGGAGACCCTCGGAAAAAAATGTCTGTTAGAGGTGGCTGAGGAACTTTGCCCAGAAAATTCAAAATAATTTGAAAATGTAGCTTTGGGTGCAATACCTTTGCCCACCGTGTTGCAGGCATTGGTGAAAACATCGTGACTCAAATAGCGAAAAATGCAAGAACGTTTCACTATTTTTTTTAAATTCCAATGGATGAGTCGCTGGACAGCTATTCCACCTCGCAACTGCTTGTGTTCATTAGAGGTGTGGATGAAGACATGAACATAACACAAGAAACTGGCTTCCCTCCATAATATGTATGGCACTGTTCAGTGGCGTAGCCATGATCGTCTCAAGGGGGGGGGGTCCAATTTTTACCCGGGGACAAACTTTCGATTTGCACCCCCCTCATACTTTTTATATATACTGGCACTGTTACCGGAGAGGATATATTCAATGAGTTGAAGAAAACATTTGCTGTTTATAACTTGGACTGGACTAACCTCATTTACCTGACTGTTGATGAGGAAAAGTACATTAGTGGCATAAACAAATGCTTGGTTGGACAAGCGAATGAGAAAAGATATCCTACAACCAATGCTCCTGCACTCTATTATTCATCAGCAAGCTTTGAGTGATAAATATATGGACATTAGCAGTGTATTGAATCCTGTGGTGAAGATGGCGAATTTAATAAGGTCACATGGGCTCAACCATAGATATAGAATACGTGAAGAATAATTTGAATTTTTTGTTTGTGGGCGGGGGGGGGGGGGGGGGGAAGAGACCATAAGACCGAAGATATGCCTTGAAGAAACTCTGGCCCCCGAACTGATATTTGTTAGTTAATGCGGTCTGAAAAGTTTGGAGACCCTCGGAAAAAAATGTCTGTTAGAGGTGGCTGAGGAACTTTGCCCAGAAAATTCAAAATAATTTGAAAATGTAGCTTTGGGTGCAATACCTTTGCCCACCGTGTTGCAGGCATTGGTGAAAACATCGTGACTCAAATAGCGAAAAATGCAAGAACGTTTCACTATTTTTTTTAAATTCCAATGGATGAGTCGCTGGACAGCTATTCCACCTCGCAACTGCTTGTGTTCATTAGAGGTGTGGATGAAGACATGAACATAACACAAGAAACTGGCTTCCCTCCATAATATGTATGGCACTGTTCAGTGGCGTAGCCATGATCGTCTCAAGGGGGGGGGGTCCAATTTTTACCCGGGGACAAACTTTCGATTTGCACCCCCCTCATACTTTTTATATATACTGGCACTGTTACCGGAGAGGATATATTCAATGAGTTGAAGAAAACATTTGCTGTTTATAACTTGGACTGGACTAACCTCATTTACCTGACTGTTGATGAGGAAAAGTACATTAGTGGCATAAACAAATGCTTGGTTGGACAAGCGAATGAGAAAAGATATCCTACAACCAATGCTCCTGCACTCTATTATTCATCAGCAAGCTTTGAGTGATAAATATATGGACATTAGCAGTGTATTGAATCCTGTGGTGAAGATGGCGAATTTAATAAGGTCACATGGGCTCAACCATAGATATAGAATACGTGAAGAATAATTTGAATTTTTTGTTTGTGGGCGGGGGGGGGGGGGGGGGAAGAGACCATAAGACCGAAGATATGCCTTGAAGAAACTCTGGCCCCCGAACTGATATTTGTTAGTTAATGCGGTCTGAAAAGTTTGGAGACCCCTGCTCTGGAGGGGAGAAAGGTTGTACGCAAACATATACTGAATTTAACTTTAAATTTTATTAGCTTGCACATGTACAGATCAGTGTGCAGTATGTATCTGTGCAGACATGTACCAATGAAACACATTTAACAGGTAGAAGCATAGGATTGCAACTCATTTTATTCATAAGACGTATGCAATGCAGTAAAAAAATTTAGACAAGTAATCTATGACAAAACTGTATGGAATGTTTTGGTATGCAAAAGAGTATATTATTCAGTCCAAAACATAGTTTTTAGTTACTACAAACCTAAATTTGCAGTTAAGAGCTTCTAATATAAATAAAAAGTAAGGATATTGTTTAATTTGGCATGAAGGGACCGATTGGTAATGATTTAGCCAGTGATCTTGTAAAATATTTCACGACATTGTTTCAAAGGCCCAACATAAAAATATTTTCAACAACGTCTAACTATTTAGTTCATAATATAGTTCTCCATAGTAAGAATGCAATATTGTCCTCGGCCATTATGAGTTGTTTGTAAAAAGGACAGCATGATGTTTGCCAAATTGATCAAAAATGTAAGACCCATTGCAGTTGTGTGCAAGAAGTGGTATCAGATATCACACTTACCGTCCTGGAAATAATTAAAACATTTAGAGATGTAGAGGTCTTAGTTCTTTTTTGGGATAATCGAAGCTATTGTAAATTGTCGAACAAATATGACTTTTGAGATCGAGTAAGTTCAGAAAGAGAGAGTGTAAGTGTAAAGATTTCAAACTAGTGTAACAGAAAAAAAAATCTTCCAAAGCACGTGACATTTTGTCAAGCCAAACACTTGGTGTACAAAACAGATTAAGAAAGTGGCACCTTTCTGTACAGAACATTTATTCGGCAAGGTACACCTATTCAGTCTGTTTAATTCAGAAATCATGCGTGATGTGAAGAAAAGCAGATATACTTGTAAGTAATAAGCTGCAGGTGTTTCTTCCAGACTTTTTTTTTCTCTAGGGGGGAGGGGCGGTAGAAGAGATACATGGAAGAAACTCATAAGCTGTCGTAAAATTATCACAAATTATCCCTAAATTTTCTCGAATATCCTTATACTACACTATGGGCTATGGGTGATTGCAACTCGGATATAGACGTGATTTTTAATCCATTTTTAATGACTTAAACTTTTTAAAATAGAATATAATCTCGTAGAAAAAATAAATGCGCACCAAGTGAACGGCAAACAATATATGTATAATAGTGCGGAATATTAGTACTTTATAAATTCATATGCGTTTTTTGAGAAATCGGAAAAAGTGGAGTTAGCTGGTTCTAGGTAAGCGACCTGAAAAGTCTTTGTCAAATCGACTGAATTAAAATGGAGCAGAAGATACGAATTACACAATAAAATTGCTTATGTTTTCCACCAAAAGAAAATAGTTCTGAAGTTTAGTATAACCCTATTTATAGCAAAACAAAAAAAAAAGATAAAAAAATGTGTAAAAAAAAAATAGCAACTAGAAGTAAGGCACCATGGC